CCTCCCTCTCTTCCCACCCACAGCGTCCTTCCCCTTTTGGATGCTCCCTCCGCCTCCCCGACCACCCTCTAGTGTCCACCGCAGCGCTGTCCGGTAGAGGAGGCGGCGGCAGCAGCAGCAAGCCTACTCTCTGCTCCTGGAATGCCCCCCTCCCCCCTCCCGCCCATGGAATGCCGTCCTCCCCCACGACACCATGTCCCGGGCGGCGTGGACGCGTGTTTCCTGACCCGGCCAATGCCCCTGCTGCTGCTGCCGCTCCCCTCCCTTCGAACTCCATGGCCTCCTCTCTCCTCCCCGAAGGGAAAACCGCGGGGCCATCTATAGCCTCCTCGCATCACCGATACGGCGGGGTCCATACAAATGCACCGTGACAAGATGCCAGCCTCTGGAATACAAAAAAAAAAAAAAAATACAAAAAAAATGCTGCTCACCTTGACGTCGTTGAGGTACCACGTGATGTTGGCGGCCGGGTGCGCGCCCCGGACGGTGCAGTTGGCCCGGAGCACGTCCCCGACGGAGTAGCGCTGCTTCTCGGCCAGCAAGAGGGGGCTCTCGTCCACGGGCAGGTCTGAAACAAACGTCACCTAATTAACCCTTTTAACGGCGAGTGGGGAGCAGAGCGGCGCGCCGAGGGGCGGTGGCGGGGCAGAGGGTGCGGCGGGGCGCCGCCAAGCGGTTAGTTCCAAATAACCATCTCCGTCGACATCCTCCGACACTCCGGCCTCTGCCCCTGCACCACCGCCCCTCCGTCGCCCATTGCTCCGACAGCGGCAGAGTTTCCGCGAAGTCCTCTCCACCCCCTTCCCCCTTTCTTGCCCCACGCCCCTTTTCTCACCCGACAAACTTTAATGTACTCTGCAAACGTGTGGAACAGATTTTAACGTGGGCCGCTAGTTGTTGGCGTTCGATGCGATGGCGGGAGGGTTGTTTACGCTCGTGTATATCGCACATACATGTGCTCCTTGTGCCACAAGGCAGTTAAAGAATGGCGTCTCACTCGCCCCATCCTTTTATTTCTCTTTGATTTCACTGTACCGCATGCAGGCGTGTCGGTTGGTTACCTACACGCTCGGCGCCATACAGCACCACGGTGAGCGACGGTTAGCAAGCTGGCCAGCACGCCATGCTTGCCATGCTTGCTTTGCAAAAATCTAAAAAAAACACGAGGCCACCTGTAGGACACCGTGTGCAAGCAAGGGATACAAGCCAACAACATCTCTCTTCAATGTTGAGGCTGACCGCTTCGCAGTAACCAGAAACTATTTAGATATTTGCAGTCGATAAAAGGTTGGCGCCACGAGCTTTTGCTAGTCCTCTAGTCTAGATGACATAATTTCGTCATGCTTATTTAGTTTTGAAGGTTGGGTTGTTGAACATAGGATCAACTGCAATTCAGCAGGTTTCAGGAATTGATTCGGTTTCCCACCACGACCCCGCTTATTTGATTTTGTGAACTAGGCGGTTGTTTCGACGCGATACCAAGCGCGTCCTTGGCCATGGAGGAGAATGGGGGCTCAAGGACGGTATAGACAATTGCAAACAACTGAGCCATAAGCGTTCATGATTTGCGCGCTACTCAAACAGGTTGTGTGCTGGGGCGAGCCACCAATCACGAACCGCGGGAAAACGGGGCCGGGAAGGAGAAGGAGGAGGGAGGCGGGGAGGCGGTGAAGTGTGGCGGGTGGTAAAGGGTTGCAATGTCGCCCCGAACAAACAATCAAACAAAATTGGGTGAGGAATGTCGAGCGCTCTCGAGAGAAGCGAATAGCCGCGGGCAAAGGGGGGCGAGAGGTTTGCTTGTGCCGGCAAATATTAACTATTTCACTTCTTAGCTTGTGTTACCAGTGCAACTACACAAGGGAATAATGGTTGCTGCTGCCGACTGCAGGGGGAAGTATACAGTGTGCTGAACTGACGAGTTGCGCTCGTTGGGCCTGCAAGAGCATAGCGCTGATTAAGAGAAGACAGAACAAACGCTCCTGATAAAGTTAGATACGGCACCGCGGCGGCAAAAGTGCAGGCAAAGTTCGGGTCTCCGGAACGAAGCGCACCTAAATGGCACGGCAGTCAATATCATTCTGATTTTAACGGCAAGCGGGTAGTGTGGTGAGTGTTCCGCGGGTGAGTGGGTGAGGAGGGGGAGGGGTAAACTCGTGAAGAAAAAGTTTAAAAAGGGATGAAGCGCTGGACCGCCTTCTTGTATAACTACAGTCGGGATAAACCGTCGTCGCCTTCCCGACGGCGTCACTCCAGATAAAAGCACTGGAGCAGCGAAAGGAGCACGGCAGTCGGCCAGCAGTAAACAGAGAGTGAGTGCGAGAGAACGGGAGAGTGCAGGAGCCAGAGGAAAAGGAATGAGAGACGCGAATTGGAATGCATTTATTCTGTGGCCAGCGCCCTGGTTGGTGTCGCAACTAAAGAACAAGAAGTCGTCTGGTCCACAGCGCGACCTTTTGTCACTCTTTATTTTGCTAATTTTCGACGGACCTGTTCCCCAGCTTCTTGAGCTCATTGGATGCCGAGCACTGACAAAACAGGGGCCAAACACACCAACTCGTGAGCGTTTACCTCGAATTTACTACACACGAGAAAGCGCGCAAGCGATGACCTGATCATGATTCCTCAGGCAGAATCTTTCACATTTCGCTGCAGCTGGCCGGGATTACATTGTAACAAAGCGCCCCCCTGTGATTCCGGCTGCTAGCGGAGTCCTCGAGGAGGAACGCGCCGCGCCGTCAACCGGATGGCCGGATGATAAAAGGCATCCGTTTTAACACGTCGCGACGGGGATCCGGAGGCCCCCCGGCCGGCCGGGCGGAGTCGAACAAAGAGATCTACTATCTGTAATTGGGTCACAGCCCAGTGGACGGGACGGGGCGGGGCGGGCGGGCTCAAGGAGGACGTATCTCGCCGAGATATTTCATAGATTGCTGAAGTGTTAATGTGAAACGAGCGCGGGTAGGAATCGGGTTAGGGATGGCGGGGGAGCCCGCCAGACGTAGCCCCACAGGGTCAGGGGTCCTCCAGTCACGAGTTACACTCTTCGCCTCGGGTCAGCATTCAACACATTATTTTCCCAGTTTTTAGCCCGCCCTTCTGCTTTGAAAAAGCTATCCAGCGGGCTTATGCAAACGACCTCGTGTGTGTCTGTGTGTCTGTGTGTCTGTGTGTCTGTGTGTCTGTCTGTCTGTCTGTTCCACTAGAAGGAGATGTGCTAGAGACTTCCAATTTTCAGGGGATCTCAAGGTTCACTCCCAAAAAACAAAACGCCTACGGCAAATCCTGTCAGCCACCCCTAAGGGGCTGAAAGGGGGTATCGAAGAAAACAGGAAAGGCCCAAAAAGTTGGAAAAAATATTTTTTTTTATGATCTTCTAAGGGGAAACTTGCGAAAGTAGAGCCCTTTGGGCGAAAATTTCGTCCGTTTTGCTCTATCTCTACCCGTTTACGCGCTGGAGGGTCTTTTTAGACGAAAATAAGCTAAAAATTGCCATAGTGAACAATAAGATGTAGAAAAAGGCCAAAAAACCGCAAAATAGAAAGGAAACTTTCCCCCACCCCCAAAAAACGTTTTCTAAGCAGAAGGGTGGGTTGTAGTCGCGGTGCTTCACCGTTACATCCCTTTCTCGAGTTTTTGGGGCAAACTCAAAGATGATAGGTTTATGCGGGCCGAAGGCCCGCTACATCATTCGGTCATGTTCTTGAGCAAATCGCGTGACAGAAATGGTCGGGCCGCAGGCCCGACCATCGCCGCCGGCAGGCCAAGCAGGCCCGGCCCCTGCCGAACGGAGTTGCCGGCGGAGCGAAGCGGAGCTGGCAACTTCGTTTGGCGGAAGGGCGGGCCTGCTTGTTACAACTTCTCTGTGTTTAGATTAGACTGGAGAAGTCTCTCAATTGCAAATGTGAGTGTGAGAATAATACTCAATCGTCGCGTACTGTACCTGCACGTGTGTAAATATTTTGTCACACAACTGCAACAGTGTCAATTATTTCGCTAACCTGCATAAGTGCGTCGTTTCTAGACTCGAATTCCCAGTGTAGGTTGCAGTCGCTCCCCCGCCCCTCTCCCCCACCCCCTTCTTCTCGTGGGGCCCAGTCGCCCGCTGCGCCGCAGAGCCCCTTCCCCCTCATTAGACTGGCTTTTGTTTAGCTAAGTTCCCAAATCGCCACGGTCTTCCTCTCCGCACTCCTTTGTGAAGAGGACGAGAACCGCCTCTCATCGAGACACTGCCACATAGATGCATGCTGTTCACTCGCATTAGTTCCTCTCTCGAGTTTCTCTACATGGCTATCATTTCATAAAGTTCTAAGATTTTAACATCTATAAGACCTGAGTTTTATGCTATGGCATGTATCGGGCAGCAGTAATGCTAGAATTGAACTAACACGTATACGTGAAAGAAATATGTTTTAAATTACGAAAGGCAGCCTTATCGAAACCAACCAACAAGTAAAATAGTTGACTACTCCACATGTAATGTTAGCAGCTTTCTGTTTACAATAGGGGTACGGTTAACGTAACGTTTTGGCGTATACGCAACAATCGGTAACAAATTAACATGCTGATTAATTCCGTCATTTTTGAGCCACCAGTAGATGCGAGGAACTGGCTCAGTGACTTGAGTCTGTTCAGCTACACATAACTTTCTGGATGGCGCTCGCGGCGGTGAGTCTATTGGTGCCGTTACCATACCACCGCGCAGGACCCGGAAGAACCCTTCTGGACTCCGTTCGGGATTCCACGTGCTGCACGGTCCGTGGTAGTTCGGGGATCCCTATAAGCAAACCGCACATAGGCCACGCCGAGCCCCGCCGAGCCCCACAGCGCACGTGACGGTTAATCTTAGCGTTCCCTGCTCCCGGGAGCCTCTCGATGTATCGGGTAGCAGAAAGGGGGGAGGGGTGGAAGGGGCGGCTGGGTCAAGGTTATAGAGAAGTGCTGTGTGCCGAGCAAACGGCGGCGGGTTGATTAAAGCCCTGAGCAGGTGGGGCCGATTGAGTGGGGCCGGATATCCGACCTCGTGGGGCATTAGTAAGGCAGCGGCAGGATGGCCCGGCGGCGCCCGGCAGGGATGAGGCTTCCGGGATATGCCCGTCAAGAAACGCGTCCCCGCCCCCTCTACCGGGGGCAAAATAAAGCGCAGGGGGCCCGTCGGACGACACATCGACACATTGACGCACTTGCAGGAAATACATGGATGCTGCTGCCCTCTGCGCGGGGCGCCGTCCGAACTATAAACAGCCGAGGATGCCAACAAGTTTTCGCAGGAGGAGGGAGGTTTGCCCGGGACGCCGTATATTCCACGGGAAGAGGGCGCAGACCGAGGGTGGCGCGGGGCGTGGCGGGCCGGGCGGCGCGGAGGGGCGCAAAGGCTGACGGGCATAAGGCGCCGGGCGCGTTGGGTTTTGAGCTTGGGAAAGAGAGCAGTTGGACCCGGGTCGGGGCGTGAGGGGAAGGGCGGGGGTACTGGTAGGCCGGCAGGGGGCGTGGCGTGGGGTGGCGTGGGGTGGCGTGGCGTGGCTTGGCGCGGGCGGACCCGAGGTACATCGCATCGCGCAAGGCGCACAG